GTCAAATAAGAAGCTATATTCCTCTCAGTGATCGTACATTGCGACTACAAATGACCCTGGTGCAGTATAAGGGGTTTTGTCCGTTGGAAGAGACCAACATAGATATATTGACCTCGCTGTAATACAAAGGGTTATGACATTTTCCTTCATTCTGTGTCTTGTTTTTAATTGTTGGTCTATTGGCATTTCGGTGTCATTGTTGTGGTGTTCAAGTCGATATTTAGATACACTCTGACATTTTGTGATATAGATATATATGTATATATTGTGAAGCATATATATATATATCATATATATTTGCATATTTTGTAAAATATATATACCATGAAATGTATATCATAGGTTAGTTTTTTTCATATATTTTAAACACCTGCTAAACTTGTTACAAGTTATTAGATTAAAAATAAACAATGAATTCAGTTAGAAAAAAAGTACTAGTTAGTTCAACTCTCACTACCGGACGGATATAGAATTTCAGAGGAAGTAGTCTAGAAAAAGATAAAATTAATGCTCAAAACGGACAGACTGTACACTAGAATACTGGGGATTTGTAAAATTAATTGTATGATAAAGGATCATGGAAATGTGTCTTATACAGGAAAGGATTGTGTGATAAAGGATCATGGAAATGTGTCTTATATAGGAAGGGATTATATGATAAAGGATCATGGAAATGTGTCTTATATAAAGGATCATGGGATTGTCATATAAATTGTATGGATCATGGAATGTGTCTTATACAGGAAGGGATTGTATGATAAAGGATCATGGAAATGTGTCTTATATAGGGATTGTATGATAAAGGATCATGGGAATGTGTCTTATATAGGAAGGGATTGTATGATAAAGGATCATGGAAATGTGTCTTATATAGGAAGGGATTGTATGATAAAGGATCATGGGAATGTGTCTTATATAGGGATTGTATGATAAAGGATCATGGGAATGTGTCTTATATAGGAAAGGATTGTATGATAAAGAATCATGGAAATGTGTCTTATATAGGAAGGGATTGTATGATAAAGGATCATGGAAATGTGTCTTATACAGGAAGAGATTGTATGATAAAGGATCATGGGAATGTGTCTGATATATGTGTCTTATATATGATAAAGGATTGTATGATAAAGGATAAAGGTGGGAATGTGTCTTATATAGGAAGGGATTGTATGATAAAGGATCATGGGAATGTGTCTTATATAGGAAAGGATTGTATGATAAAGGATCATGGGAATGTGTCTTATATAGGAAGGGATTGTATGATAAAGGATCATGAAAATGTGTTTTATACAGGAAGGGGTTGTATGATAAAGGATCATGGGAATGTGTCTTATATAGGAAGGGATTGTATGATAAAGGATCATGGAAATGTGTCTTATATAGGAAGGGATTGTATGATAAAGGATCATGGAAATGTGTCTTATATAGGAAGGGATTGTATGATAAAGGATCATGGAAATGTGTCTTATATAGGAAGGGATTGTATGATAAAGGATCATGGAAATGTGTCTTATATAGGAATTGTACGATAAAGGATCATGGGAATGTGTCTTATATAGGGATTGTATGATAAAGGATCATGGGAATGTGTCTTATATAGGGATTGTATGATAAAGGATCATGGGAATGTGTCTTATATAGGAAGGGATTGTATGATAAAGGATCATAATGTGTCTTATATAGGGGATTGTATGATAAAGGATCATGGAAATGTGTCTTATATAGGGATTGTATGATAAAGGATCATGGGTCTTATATGTCTATATATGGGAAATGTGATCTTATATGGAAATGTGAAGGGATTGTATGATAAAGGATCATGGAAATGTGTCTTATATAGGAAGGGATTGTAGATAAAGGATCATGGAAATGTGTATTGTATGATAAAGGATCATGGGAATGTGTCTTATATAGGAAGGGATTGTATGATAAAGGATCATGGAATGTGTCTTATATATGGAAATGTGTCTGATATAGGGATTGTATGATAAAGTATCATGGAAATGTGTCTTATACAGGAAGAGATTGTATGATAAAGGATCATGGAAATGTGTCTTATATAGGGATTGTATGATAAAGGATCATGGGAATGTGTCTTATATAGGAAGGGATTGTATGATAAAGGATCATGGAAATGTGTCTTATATAGGGATTGTATGATAAAGGATCATGGGAATGTGTCTTATATAGGGATTGTATGATGAAAGGATCATGGGAATGTGTTTTATATAGGAAGAGATTGTATGATAAAGGATCATGGGAATGTGTCTTATACAGGAAGGGGTTGTATGATAAAGGATCGTGGAAATGTGTCTTATATAGGGATTGTATGATAAAGGATCATGGAAATGTGTCTTATATAGGGATTGTATGATAAAGGATCATGGAAATTATATTGATGATAAAGGATCATGGAAATGTGTCTTATATATGATAAAGGATCATGGAAATGTGTCTTATACAGGAAGAGATTGTATGATAAAGGATCATGGGAATGTGTCTGATATAGGGATTGTATGATAAAGGATCATGGGAATGTGTCTTATATAGGGATTGTATGATAAAGGATCATGGGAATGTGTCTTATATAGGAAGGGATTGTATGATAAAGGATCATGGAAATGTGTCTTATATAGGGATTGTATGATAAAGGATCATGGTAATGTGTCTTATATAGGAAGGGATTATATGATAAAGGATCATGGAAATGTGTCTTATATAGGGATTGTATGATAAAGAATCATGGAAATGTGTCTTATATAGGGATTGTATGATAAAGGATCATGGAAATGTGTCTTATATAGGGATTGTATGATAAAGGATCATGGGAATGTGTCTTATATAGGGATTGTATGATAAAGGATCATGGAAATGTGTCTTATACAGGAAGGGATTGTGAGATAAAGGATCATGGAAATGTGTCTTATATAGGGAATTTATATATGGAAATGTGTCTTATATTTGTATGATAAAGGATCATGGAAATGTGTCTTAATGTGTCTTATATATGGAAATGTGTCTTATATAGGAAGGGATTGTATGATAAAGGATCATGGGAATGTGTCTTATATAGGGATTGTATGATAAAGAATCGTGGAAATGTGTCTTATATAGGAAGGGATTGTATGATAAAGGATCATGGAAATGTGTCTTATATAGGAAGGGATTATATGATAAAGGATCATGGAAATGTGTCTTATATAGGAAGGGATTATATGATAAAGGATCGTGGAAATGTGTCTTATATAGGAAGGGATTATATGATAAAGGACCATGGAAATGTGTCTTATATAGGAATTGTACGATAAAGGATCATGGGAATGTGTCTTATATAGGGATTGTATGATAAAGAATCGTGGGAATGTGTCTTATACAGGAAGAGATTGTATGATAAAGGATCATGGAAATGTGTCTTATACCGGAAGGGATTGTATGATAAAGAATCATGGAAATGTGTCTTATACAGGAAGGGATTGTGTGATAAAGGATCATGGAAATGTGTCTTATATAGGGATTGTATGATAAAGGATCATGGGAATGTGTCTTATATAGGGATTGTATGATGAAAGGATCATGGGAATGTGTTTTATATATGATAAAGGATCATGGTAATGTGTCTTATATAGGAAAGGATTGTATGATAAAGAATCATGGAAATGTGTCTTATATAGGAAGGAATTGTATGATAAAGAATCATGGGAATCTGTCTTATATAGGAAGGGATTGTATGATAAAGAATCATGAGAATGTGTCTTATATAGGAAGGGATTATATGATAAAGGATCATGGAAATGTGTCTTATGCAGAAAGGGATTGTATGATAAAGGATCAGTCTTATATAGGAAGGAATTGTATGATAAAGGATCATGGAAATGTGTCTTATATAGGGATTGTATGATAAAGGATCATGGGAATGTGTCTTATATAGGAAGGGATTGTATGATAAAGGATCATGGAAATGTGTCTTATATAGGAAGGGATTGTATGATAAAGGATCATGGAAATGTGTCTTATATAGGAAGGGATTGTATGATAAAGGATCATGGAAATGTGTCTGATATAGGGATTGTATGATAAAGGATCATGGAAATGTGTCTAACACCGGAAGGGATTGTGTGATAAAGAATCGTGGGAATGTGTCTTATACAGGAAGGGATTGTATGATAAAGAATCGTGGAAATGTGTCTTATATAGGAAGGGATTGTATGATAAAGGATCATGGAAATGTGTCTTATATAGGGATTGTATGATAAAGGATCATGGGAATGTGTCTTATATAGGAAGGGATTGTATGATAAAGGATCATGGGAATGTGTCTTATATAGGGATTGTATGATAAAGAATCATGGAAATGTGTCTTATATAGGGATTGTATGATAAAGAATCATGGAAATGTGTCTTATATAGGAAGGGATTATATGATAAAGGATCATGGAAATGTGTCTTATATAGGAAGGGATTGTATGATAAAGGATCATGGAAATGTGTCTTATATAGGAAGGGATTATATGATAAAGGATCATGAAAATGTGTTTTTTACAGGAAGGGGTTGTATGATAAAGGATCATGGAAATGTGTCTTATATAGGAAGGGATTGTATGATAAAGAATCATGGTCTTATAATGTGATTCTTATATAGGAAGGGATTGTATGATAAAGGATCATGGAAATGTGTCTTATATGGAAATGTGGGATTGTATGATAAAGGATCATGGAATGTGTCTTATATAGGGATGTGTATGATAAAGATCATGGAATGTGTATTATATAGGAAGGGATTGTATGATAAAGGATCATGGAAATGTGTCTTATAATAGGAAGGGATATTATAAAGATCGATCATGGAAATGTGTCTTATATAGGAGATTTTGGGGTATTTTTATATAATAAAGGTATCTATATAAATGTGTCTTATATTGGACAGGGCCTATGAAAAAGCTAAAAAAAAAGTCATTATATATTAATTGATAAAGTCATGGAAATGATTTCTTTTCAGGTCACATCACATTCGCCTTTCATCATGACGAAGGAATTTGTTTCCAGTACAACCCTATCTATCACTACACCTTCAATCCCACAACTGAATGTTTCATCTTCAAATTCTTCAATATCAAACACCGCCTTGGAAGTAAATGAAACAACCTTGACCTTTATTACATCCGGGCCTCTCCTTGACCTCGCAAATGACAACTACTTCAAAGATGTATTGTTATCATCATTGGTATATGTGTGTGTGTTATTGGCGATTGGGTTGCCAGGCAACATGTTGGTGTTGTATGTATATGGATTCAAATGGAACCGTACAACATCTAGAATTTTCATAATGGCCCTCGCTGGAATCGATCTTTTAAACTGCATGTCATCCATGGCAACTGAATTGTATCTTCTAACACATTTCTTCAAATTTGATTTCCCCTATGTGTGTAAAGTGACCAGATTTGTGACGTCATTTTGTAATAACTCAACAACTATTGTTCTATCAGCTATCGCTGTTGATAGATTCAAAAGGATTTGCCGTCCCTTAGAAGAACTGATAGATATCAGAACTGCTAAAAAGATTGTCTGGTTTGCCGTAGTTCTTGCAATAGCTACATCGTGGCCGTTGTTTGTACTATACGGGACACACGAACTAGAATTAAAGAAATTCGAAAATTCTGTTCTTGTTGGAAAAACTTGTGAAATCGAAGAACGATGGATAAAGACGATATATCCACTTCTTCTCGTTGGATTTCTTTTCACTTGTCATTTTGTAGCCGATATTATTTTTATAGTGTTGTATATCCATGTTGGAAAAGCCATAATACGACAAAGAAAAAACAGGAAGTCATTGAAGTCAGGAAATAGATACACCGCGCCTGAAATATCTGCGGCCAGTTGTACAATGGATGAACTAGATGGAAAACCTGCGGAAATGAGGTCAAGGAATTTCTCATTTGTAGTTTGGAACAAAATTGCGAAAAATGCCAGTCGTTCAAAATTGACAATAGCAAAAAATACAGAACGTCCAACAGGAAAACCAAAAACCCTTCCATCCGATTTAATTCGAAGACAGCTTTCGAAGGCAAGTGGAAATTCAAGTGGTTCCGGTGCTGTTCATGCTGGAAAGACAACAATGATGCTATTTTTAGTAACGGTTGTGTTTGCGGTGTCGTTCTTACCGTATTGTGTAGTAGTTATCCTCAGGGCAACACATCGGGAGGAGATTGTAAATCTGTCTAATATTGGTAAATCCATGTATAATCTGTTACTTCGATCCTATTTTATGAACAGTGTGTTTAATCCTGTTGTGTACTGTTTTGTGAGCCAGCAGTTTCGAAATCAGGTGATAGCTGCTTTTAAATGTACTTCAGGTAATCTACAAAGGTCACACTCACAGGTGAGGTCAAATCTGGGTTCAAGGTCACGTTAAGAGTGTGTAAGTCACAGAAAGATCAGATCAGGGATCAAATTGAAAAATATTGAAGGCTGTAGTGATCCGTGATAAGATACTGTATGTAAAATTGACAAAATAATTTTGAATATTAAATAAAAATCGGAAAGGTGACTGCAATTTTCGTTCTTTTAAAACAATAAACAAAATGATCCTTGGGTATAATTGCCTTAAACTCCATGAAATTTTGTCGGAAAATTTGACATTTGAACTTTTACCATGAGTACTGACTGCTGAGTGCAATATATACTCTGTTCTCACATTGAAACCTGAAGTTACTTTATTATACCATAAGCCTGAATGATAACATAAACCTAGTAAATGGCTGAAGTGTTATCATACAAACGTTTTTTTTAAGATATTATAATGACAGCAATTCCAAATTCTATCAAGCATTTTACTGGCTACCAAGTTTTCTGCAACCGAAACATTTCACAGTCAGACAGACTGAACTACCAAATTAACTAACACCAACTTGTTAAACCGAAGTATTGGGGTCTTTCGTCCAACCCTTAAAAGAATCACTGGTCTACAGATCGTTATTATAATGAACACTGAAGAATTGATAATCTATATGAGTGATTTCAAAGTTGTTTACATAACAGGCGTCATCCAAGAAACAACAGACGCTTATTCTTCCGGAACACGTGGTCTTATTCTCCTCGTACTTTTTCATGACTCCTAGTTTTATTAAATTTCAGTTTGGATTATAATTATGTTGACATGTTGGTATTTACTTGTTGTTTTATGTTGAAATATTGGTTACCATTGTAATACAGAATATTTCTTTGAGTGGAGTTGGTTATTTTTCAAAAGATTCTTAAAACACGAGCTTTAGCCAGTGTTTTGTAACTTTTAGAAAATAACTTACAACAGTGAACGTAAAACCATATACATTAATCACGATTTTGTGTTACCTGTTTATACCACAATAAAAATCTATTCGCAAGTTAAATTGATATGTTTTGTTTACGTCAGTTTGGGTGTGATGATATTACCTTTAATGAAATGCCGCTAATTAATATACAACTTTTCAGAAATAGATGGAAGTATTGTACCTCATAAATTATAACTAGAAATACACTAGAAATCCTATTGTTAGAGACACAATACATCATGCAATACTTAAGTAAGTGCCTGATGCGCCCATCCGGTCAAAGGTCATCCTGTCCACCAATGAATACATGCATGTGTTATGACATGTATCTTTATACAGTGGTGTCTTGGGAGTTGACTAATATCCACATATTGTGGTAGAAATGAAGGTTTCTGTTTATCATAGACTTTTGAATAAGTTTTCAATAATTCTCTTTAGGAATGAATTCAACGTTTGCATTTCTCAGCATTTGCAATTGCAAAGTCAAAAAAAAAAAATTATCATGGAAATTTTTTATTTGTGTTCATAATGCAAATCAACATCAACAAAAATCAATACGTCAAACAAGCGCAAGGCAAGTTTTAAAAAGTAACAATTAAAACTAATCTAGAGAGTAAGTGGTTAAATAAAGTTATAGCTGTTGGTAGGACGTTAAGTAACATAAACAAAACAACATCATAGCTGTTGGTAGGACGTTAACAAACACAAACAAAACAACAACATAGCTGTTGGTAGGACGTTAAGTAACATAAACAAAACAACATCATAGCTGTTGGTAGGACGTTAAGTAACATAAACAAAACAACATCATAGCTGTTGGTAGGACGTTAACAAACACAAACAAAACAACAACATAGCTGTTGGTAGGACGTTAAGTAACATAAACAAAACAACATCATAGCTGTTGGTAGGACGTTAACAAACACAAACAAAACAATAACATAGCTGTTGGTAGGACGTTAAGTAACATAAACAAAACAACATCATAGCTGTTGGTAGGACGTTAACAAACACAAACAAAACAACATAGCTGTTGGTAGGACGTTAAGTAACATAAACAAAACAACATCATAGCTGTTGGTAGGACGTTAACAAACACAAACAAAACAATAACATAGCTGTTGGTAGGACGTTAACAAACACAAACAAAACAACAACATAGCTGTTGGTAGGACGTTAACAAACACAAACAAAACAACAACATAGCTGTTGGTAGGACGTTAACAAACACAAACAAAACAATAACATAGCTGTTGGTAGGACGTTAACAAACACAAACAAAGCAATAACATAGCTGTTGGTAGGACGTTAACAAACACAAACAAAACAATAACATAGCTGTTGGTAGGACGTTAACAAACACAAACAAAACAATAACATAGCTATAGGACGTTAACAAACATATAACAAAACAATAACATAGCTGTTGGTAGGACGTTAACAAACACAAACAAAACAACAACATAGCTGTTGGTAGGACGTTAACAAACACAAACAAAACAACGCCATAGCTGTTGATGGGACGTTAAGCAAAGTTAAGCAACACAAATAAAAAAAATCTTTTGATAGGATATTATCCAATATAAAAGAAAAATATGACACTTATAAGAAAACCGGAAAAAAAATCAGCAAAAACAAAACTGACCATGCGACTGTCAAATATTTAGGACAGACACATCCATAGTATATAGGAGAACAACCAGAATAGGACGACACAGCTAGTATATAGGACGACACAGCTAGTATATAGGACGACACAACCAGTATATAGGACGACACAGCTAGTATATAGGACGACACAACTAGTATATAGGACGACACAGCTAGTATATAGGACGACACAGCTAGTATATAGGACGACACAACTAATATATAGGACGACACAACAAATATTTAGGACGACACAACCAGTATATAGGACGACACAACTAGTATATAGGACGACACAACTAGTATATAGGACGACACAACTAGTATATAGGACGACACAACTAGTATATAGGACGACACAACTAGTATATAGGACGACACAACTAGTATATAGGACGACACAACAAATATTTAGGACGACACAGCTAGTATATAGGACGACACAACTAGTATATAGGACGACACAACTAGTATATAGGACGACACAACTAGTATATAGGACAACACAACTAGTATATAGGAAGAAAAAACTAGTATATAGGACGACACAACTAGTATATAGGACGACACAACCAGTATATAGGAAGACAGAACTAGTATATAGGACGACAAAACTAGTATATAGGACGACACAACTAGTATATAGGAAGACAAAACTAGTATATAGGACGACACAACTAGTATATAGGACGACACAACTAGTATATAGGAAGACAGAACTAGTATATAGGACGACAAAACTAGTATATAGGACGACACAACTAGTATATAGGCACAACTAGTATATAGGACGACACAACTAGTATATAGGACGACACAACTAGTATATAGGAAGACAGAACTAGTATATAGGACGACAAAACTAGTATATAGGACGACACAAGTAGTATATAGGACGATATCGCTCACTGTTTAATCATTCGCCATTGATTTTATCATCACTACTGCTTAGTACATGTATTATGTGCATACTAAATGTATATCATTCAACAACTTTCTATCTGTTTGTCTAGGTTTCTGTCTGCACACGTGTCTGGTAGTACCTGAACAGACAAATGTTTCCTGTCATATCATGAAACGTAAGAACACGCTATTTACCATTGATTCGTGTAAAGGGAAGCAACTCCTTCGTGCTTGCTTATCTCCGTCTTCTGTGTTGTTCGCTGAAAGCCCTTACGACGTCATCTCAGTCAACAATACACCATTCTTAAAGACTTGTGCACATTAACTTAACCTGTTTTTTCGGCTTCTCCGGAAAAAAGGAATAGAATAACTGTTATAAGTATTGAAGTTAACTGTGCTTTGTTATAGTAAATAAATTAATATGTTCAACTTTATTCATGTCACTTTCATCATCAATTCTAAATAACGGTTGACGTGCATTGAATATTAAATTTTTATATCTAACTGATCACATGGTGTGTTTGTCAGTGTATGTCTCTGCAACAGTCCTCTGCATTTGTAGGTGGTGTCTACATATGATTCAAAAACTAAAATCTGATAATCCAGGTTAAAAATTTCCATGTTGAAATGAAAAAAAAACTTCCGAGATCTCCCCCATAAGCTAACAATATCTTCCGGTCATTGTATTTAATGGAGTGGCAGACATTTTAGTCCAATCCCTGCTGTCTGATTTAAGGGTCATTTTATTGACAATAGACAATACACCAACACCGGGATAAGGAGTCCTTATATACACCAAGAAATCATCTAAAGGTGGCTATTTATAGCCGGCCTTTCAGGCAGGGGAAGTAACCCACCGCTCTTCTCAATCACTGCGACGCAAATAACAGTTAGTTGTGTGGGTAGCATGAATTAATTTGATAGATTCCCTAAATAGATTAAATACATTGAGCAGATGAATCTTTTTTATATTCCTAAGAAAAGGTTACGGAATCAAATCCCTAATTCTCTTGTATCTGATTCATTGCAGTGAATGACAAGAGGTGTACTATTACCGTATATTACGACCAAGAATCCAATACAGTTCAATTTGTATGACGCCACTTATACTGTATTTCCGGCTGCAGGTCATTGCTATCATATAAACAATCCAGATGTTTAGAAGGAATTGCGATTGCATGTACCAAAAATAACTTCTTCCAGCGTGTGAACATACCATACATTTTTGTTTCTCTTTCCCCTGAACAACTGTCGTCAATAATTAATATATTTCAGTTTTTAATTTTATCGTACCAATTTTGGTGTCATTGTAACCGACAGTGGTGAGATTCTGCGGTACAATTTTGGAGAGAAATGGTCCTAAAATGAATCTTACTATCCATACGGTCAGCCATCAATCGTCTTCAAGTAACCTCCAATATAGCGAGGTTGAATAGATTTTTTTTATAATTTTCATCCAGGGCTACATAATTAATTCAAGTTCAACTTTCTGCGAACCAGCAGTTCACTCAAGATAGTCCTGACAAGCAATTGTACACCATCCAGTAGCGACAGTGCGTGGTTAATGGTGCAGTTGATGGCTGACCGGCTGGACAGTAAGAACGACATTTAAAGGTCATTTCACGTCACCCGTGCAAACAGACAATAACACTTCATAGCCTCTTGGCACATTGCCAACGCATTTAAATTGCAATGCACGAGTTAAGTTCAACAAAACCCGGTAAAAACAGTAGCAAGTGTTAGTGAATGGTATATGGGCGAGGATACCTGAATGACGATTTCAAGTTTGTTATAGGTGTATATGAAACTTTAAGATGCCACCTGAAAGTGAATTGAATAGGAACCGATGGAGTTTAACTGGGGACCAACCTAATGTGATCATGATTTTTAGTCGCCGGACACTACCACATTAATGATATCGTGTAAATGTGGTATATTGTATTTAAAGTCGTTGTTTCTTGTATATAAGGTATTTGTGATCATTTCGATATTACAGATCTAAGTGTGGGGCGGTATTTGGCTGGATCCACCGACTTTTCAGAGGCTGGATAATTCCTCACTGATATTCGTTGGTTCGCTTTAATAGTTTGATTTTAAAACACAATCCGCCTCCCCACATAGCCTGTACAAATTGATGTACGCCCTAGACAATTATCCTTATATGAATCAGACTGTAGCGAGGCTGTGAAACTTGGGTGTCTCTCTTGACTATCTCATATGAATCAGTCGTTTTCATATGACAGTTGTCAAGGTGGCACACATAACTTACTGCCCTAGACAATAATCCTTCTATGAATCAGACTGTAGCAAGGCTGTGTTAATATGATTTCTCTCTGTACCACCTTCTATCATCGGCACACGGGATATAGCTACGCATGAAACATCCTCGATACTCCAGGAATTTAGATCACTTCCGCTCTTTGCACCAATGGAACAAGCCATGGCAAAATTGAAGCTTATGTGTGCGAGACCTTAAGAATAAGACAAGAGGACTAGTTCGATCCTTTGGTGTACATCAA